ATATATTATATATATATATATATATATTTGCCAATAAATTATCAATAAGTATAGGTTAAATGATCACACAGGTCAAAATGTTTTACTTCACTTTTTTACAACTTTGGAATCTAAACTGGGAATCGATAAGCACTTAAATCAATTAGCAGAATCAGAATCGGAATGGATAAAATGAAAACAATACCAAACCCTTGCCACATGTTGTGACGTTTACTGATTTATGAGCATTTTATGAACACTGATCAGTTGATGTCAGGATTAAAAAAGACGGTTCTGTGGCTCAACTTGCACATCCATGGCCATACTGAGAGAGTATGTTCCAGTATTCTGAAAAGACTAAAGATTAGTTTTCTTTTCAATCTTTGCTTTGTTTGCCTAAAATGAACCATATCATAGCCTTCAATATCTCTTTGAAAAATAAATTTGTAACTTTTAAACAAGTATTAAAATGAGTTCAATGTAGCTGTAGGAGTGGTAAATAAAAAAATAAAGTTGATTATCTTCATTCAGTTGTTCCATTTCTATAGGTTTGGTAACATAAAAGCTCTTAATTCCAAAGATAATACAAGCTAATCAGTGTATTCAGTAGGTTGCATTAGTGGCATAAGGTATTGTAAGTATACAACAATGTGACAATAAAACAATGCATGTACTTTCGTACTTTTACTTAAGTAAAAACCTGTCTTTACAACTTTCACTCATAGTGGGAGTAGTATTTGACCAGTAGTATCTGTACTTTCACTGAAATAATGAAGTTCGCCTCTGTGGATGACAAATTACTTCACTCAATACAAATAATCTGTTACAGACAACTCGCAATACTGGATGTGTAACAACATACCGAATTAAAAATAATCACTGTAGGTGTATGAAATTTTATTTAGTATGTTACATACTCAATAAAAACTGAACTGGAAACCTTTCTATCATCTTCACAAAAAATGTAATAATGAGTTCTTACTGACCTCTGGTGGGCATTCTGTAACATCTCGCCTCTAAATGGATTATAAATGATAAAAAGGATAAAAAGGCATTATTTAAACACATTGTTAGCTTAAAACAATCAATACAAAAATATTTCATTATTATTATTACTATAAAATATTGGCTGATAAATACTGTTGTGTCTATTGGCACATTGTTATTTCTGCCCTAAAATGTAACCACATGGCAGAATTTTCTCATCAGTACCACACTGTCCTGTTGTTCATAATTATAAGTACAGAGGAGTAATTCAATGGTGAACCAGTTCCAGCTGTGAATTTTTTTTGGCTTTGACCTAGTATGCAGAGTGAGTACTGTAAGCAGACCAACACTGTAGAGTAAACAATTCACTGTGAACTACACATATTTCAGACCTCTGAATGATAACAGAGGTCATATTGACATGAGGGTCAGTAGAGTAATATTTGCATGCTGAATTTTAGAATGAGCCTAGACTGACATGACAACAATACAGACATAAACTGGAAAGGCTATGGAATTTCCTACTCAGTCTGTTCCCTTGTCAGAATCATGTGAAGTATTTGAGGAATTTAAATTTGAACTTTCTTTTCTTTTCTAAGACTTTGGACAGAATAGACTGTGAAATGCTGATTTATTTGTCACAGAGCTAGAGAACATTGATACTGCCAACACTGTCTAATTTCAGCAAGTAGCCTATTAAGAGTGTTAATAAATATGTGTGTGTGTGCATGTTTATGTGGTTTATGAGGACACAAATTTGTATAATAACATGGGTATGACATAGGTATTACAACGAGAAGGTGATTTATGAGGACATTTTCAGTGTCCCCGTAATTCAAAAGGCTTATAAATAATTCAGAATGAGCTTTTTTGAAAATCTAAAAATGCAGAAAGTTTCCTGTGAGGGGTAGGTTTAGGGGTAGGGTTGGTGTAGGGCAATAGAAAATATGGTTTGTACAGTATAAAAACCATTACGCCTATGGAGAGTCCCCACAAACCATAAAAACAAACCTGTGTGTGTGTAATAAATTATATTCATATAATAATTGCATAACACAGTATTTGATCTGAAACAGAACATAAAACGTATAATAGTATTTGTCAACAGCACTAGTATATAATATAATTTAGAAAAAAGGGTACAACCACTCAACCAGACACTCTAGCTTTCGGCACCTTGAAATGACCTGCAGTAGCTATACGACGCATGCGCACAATCACACTGTGCACCTCCCATTCTTTCACCCAGTATGGTAACCCAACCCGTCTAAAATTAGCGGGGCTGCTCAGCAACCAGACAACGGAATGTGAAGAGGTTATTTGCCTGTTTTGTGTCGTTTAGATAGTCTTACTTATGCCAAAATCACAAATTAAACGACATACTTTTTTTTTTTTTTTTTACATGCTGACATTCAATGAAAGTAATACTGAAAGTAAATTTTTATTTTGAGAATTTTGAAAATGGGGACATTTACCAAAAGTAAAAAATCGGAAATAACCCCGGACGCCCGGGGTTAACAAAATGAACGGGCACGTGCAAACTGTGCGTTATCAAAAGTCACCAGGTGGATCATCGATGTGTTGCTTATTGACATATGGTTGGCCAGTCACCGCATCGATGAGTTTCAGTCCTTACCCCATGTAATGGTGACGTCGGCCCAGAGACGGAGGCGGAGAAGAGCTACGTTTATTGCTGTGTGCTCCGATTCATTCCACCCTTCCTTCGACCGGAGTGAAGTCGGGCAGCAAGCTCTAGTGTTTGAGGCGAGAAAAAAAAAAAAAACATGGCAGGTTACCTGAAGGTCCTCAGCTCTCTCACTAGGTCCGCCGCTACTCTCTCCAAAACCCCCGCCGTTCTTGCTCCAGCGTCTTGCCAGAGTTTGCAACAGAGGAACTGTGAGTTTTCCGCTTCCACAATTGTCTATAGATGTGCCAATAAAGCCGCATTAAGCGGCGCTTTAACACCGGCTAATGCTTATCTGAGACGATGGGCTTTTAAATTGAAATCTCCCTGCCACATGCTTGTATCGGAAAACGCCGGCTGCAGACCGTTGTGTTTCTTCTCAGTTCGCCAGCTTGCATATTTCCGTCTCTTCGCGGCTTCGGCAGCGCCACAGCACAGTGTTATTTTCGCGGTAACGTTGTACGTGCAGCGGGAGTCGCTCGGCAGCATTAGCAGAAGTCGCGCTCCTTTGTTCGCCTATACGGTGTCTTTTAAAAAAAGGAGCAACATAAAACGACATATTAGCTGCATTTAAACCATTGTGCTTACGTTATCGCTTCTTAAAGGCAAAGCCTGTCTTATTAACATCATTGCACGTTTGAACAATTTGACGGCTTTGTAAGAGTCATTTGAGTGTGTTTTTGGCGAGTGAATCCCCTGGATGGGTTGCACACAAGGACTGCGGACTTCTGAAACCATTCGCGCTTAAAATACTGCTGCAAATGTAATTATAAGCATGCAACCGAACAGCTCTGTGATGTAAAATATTTCGGTAACCAGTTATTTGAGGCTTCATGTGGGGTTTTGTCTGTGTTTTGCTTGTACTGCGTTATGAAATCATTTCAAGGTCAACCGGCCTGGCCCGTACTCCTATTTTACCATTGATGAGTGCAGATCATGACAATTAAGATGTAAATGACCAACAAGCACATTATCTGATTTCTTAAGCATGATATTTGACTACTAAACCATAGCACATTTTTTTTCACCCTAGTTTTATATGCCCTACTTGTTATGGAGGCTGCATTGATTTAAATGGCTTGTTTGATGCAGCAACTGTACTAACGTTTGGACTTACTGATCGATTAAGGGTTGTCTTCTGAAACATGTATCTTAGGGTGTTACTTTGAAACAAGGGACAACTGAAAAGCAGGACCTCAGGCACAGCTGTGAATGAATTGGTGTCATGTCCTGACACTAGCTGGTCCTCTGTGTTAGGTAATCAGTTGTCATGGAGGATTGTCCAAATGTAGGTGGTTTACTTGGCGTACACCAGCCCTTGTGTCCTCCGGGTCACCTTTACTCTGAATGGGCTGGTTCTAATTAACACCAGGACTCATGCATCACATCCGAATGACTACGTGTGATGATAGAACCAACCTTTTGCACTTGAGGGATACCACATTAAAACATTCGTATTGCCAAGTTTATTAGAAGGCGTGAGATTTGGCACGGAATGGTTGTGTTAGAATGCCTCGTTCCCTAAGGCGTGTTGGGTGATTATGGGTCTTTCATTGAGTTTATATTATAGGTGAAGTGCCATCCACAGTTTATGCAATGCATAGCGGTCTTGTATCAAGAAGTTGTCTTGCATTTCAGGTTGTCTTTATTAACATCAGTTCAGGCACAATGCCAAGCACACTTGCATGTTCTCTCTCATTAAATTCACAAGGTTGGATTTGACTTTTGCTAAGAGGTGTTATGGGTTGTATAAGGAGAGGCGAGTAGCCCACACTTCTCATTTATTAACCTTTGTGACATTTTCTGAAACTTAACTTGATCTAATTTATTTAAACTCTAAAAAATGCTGGGTTATTTTTTTTTGCCCCGAATGCTGGGTTCAGATTGTTGGGTCATTTTATTGGGTTAATTTTAATATTGTTTTACCCAGGTGCTGGGTCATTTTTTTTTTTACAGTCAATACAAATGATGTACCCCCTCACACACCCAGCGCTGGGTCAGTGTAACCCAATGTTGGGTAGTCTGTGACAAACTGGTTAAAACTGGATACGTTTGTCAGTGGTCATTTTGTGTTCTGTCCTAACTCCTAAGAGAAACTTGACTGACGGGAAACTTCCTGAATGGAATTAAGGTATCTATTATTGTATTCCTATCAAATTATTCTGTATAAATAGGAAAACTTCTGTAGCCTAACATATTTCCTTTTTTTTGTTTAAATGTACATCCCAGCTAACATCTCCTTGGAACTCTAGCCTTCTACAAACACAGCATTCACTGGATCTACACTCAAAGTGAACGTCGCCACCACGGAAGTTTCACCTACAGTCAAAATAATGCTCGACCAGGGCTGAAACACGACGCTACTTCACTGTTATATGTAACAAAGTTTCTGTGTACTCCACTGACTACAACAGGAGTGCTATTGATCTAGTGCGCCATTGTTGCAGCTGTGGTCGCGCTATGTGTTTGACGGGTTGAAACTTAAATGTCGGACAGACAAGATGGCACGAGGTAAAGCTGTTTTTGATGTAACTTTTTAAACATGAATATAAGATAAGTAATGAATATATGTCATTTAATAAACTGGAACAGCCTACTGATACCAGTTTTCTTCCCACAGATTCCCATTGGCTGCTCCTGTCACGTCCTAATACCTTTACTGAATGTTTTTGAAGATTTCATGATTGTAAAAGACTGACTTGACATTGAACAAAAAATATTCTATATGAACTGTTCTTGTCCTATATAAAACAGATTTTAATTACATTTTTCTTATTTAAAATGAAAAACCTTCAATAGGTTGACTGACCCAGCACTATGTCAAAAAACAACCCAGTAAATGGGTTAATGTATAAAACCCAACTAGCTGGGTTAAAATAACCCAGCATGTGTTCTGTCTAATATTTACCCAGTGCTGGGTTGCCAAATAACCCAGAATTGGTTTTTTAACCCAGCATTTTTTTTTGTGTATGTTCATGCCTGAATTTATAATTTCTTCATATTTATATGTATGTAATATGCAGTCATATTATATATCATGTATTTAAAAAATATACAAATAAAAAACTATATTTTGGGGGGGTGAAATTATGTTGTATAAATTAAAGATTTGTTCTATTAAGTAGTGATGTTTTTTCACTATCAAGAGAAGCATCTGAACATCTGCTTTTGTCAACCCAGCTGGTTAGTCATTTCACACATTTATTTTAGTAACTCCATGGCACAGCATCTTTGTAAAATCTAATTTAAGCCACTTTCTCTCTGGGTCACTCTTGAGCAACTTTTGTAGGTCATCAGTTGGAAAGTGGCCCAAATGATTTGTGAGGACTCCATGTGAACATACTCACCTCATGGATTTTTTTTTAACTACTGACCTTCAAGTGTGGAGCACAAGTGTACGCTTATGTTTGCAAATGTCCTTGACAACTGAAAATCAGAGGGTCATGTGGGAGAGATTACTTGCGATATGATGTGCTGACCACATGCTTTGTGTAGAGGCTTAGATACACGTGGGTTGATTTGACCTTTTCCTTTTTATAAGGCTAAAAAGGAATAGTTTGCAAACAAATTATATCATCTATTCATTGTGGATTTGGAATGATTTCAGTGTGTAAATGACACATTTTTAAATGAACTATTTCTTGGTTGCACCGCCAGTTTAGTTGGAGGTATAGAAATGAAATACTGTGGTTCTAGGAGCCATGGTGCAGAACATGTAACAAGATATTAAATATTTATTTTTGACTTTTGAGGTCAGTATGCATGTTTAGTTGAAAAAAATCAAAAGTAAAGACATTTATGATGTGAAATACTTCTATTTCAAATAAATGCTGTTCTTTTGAACTTCGTTTATCAAAAATTCCTGAAAAAAAAGTATAACATATAAGCAGCACAACTGCTTTCAACATTGATAATAGTAAGAAATGTTTCTTGGGCACCAAATCAGCATATTAGAATGATTTCTGAAGGATCATGTGACGCTGAAGACTGGAGTAATGGTGCTAATAAACTCAGTTTTGCAACCACAGGAATAAATTGATAATGGAAACAAAAAAATTTGGGACACCTACGCTCCAAAAATACAAAAATGTAATAAGAGACTATCACACAGGTGACAATTTGAGCATGCAGGCTCTTCATCAGACTGACAAATTGAATTTAGGTTAAGCATTATTGCATTAAAAGTAAATAGTAGTTTAGAAGTTACTATTTGTGTTTAAACGTGTTTAGAAAATGTTCTTAAAATAGGTAATGTGGCACCAGCTGGGTTCTAGTGCAATGTCAGAGTATCATCCATTGTACAGTAGTGTAGGAGTAAAGTGGCAGCGTGCTATTTTATGCTCAATACATGTGAAGCATGTTATTTTATCACATTCAATTGCCAATAAGAATAGGCCTAACTCAAGGCCATTGGATTGTAGATCACATGATCTTGTTCAGCATTCTTTGCAGATTCTCAATTTCCCATTGGATGAGATTTCAGAGAAAGTTAGAGGAAACATGAGCTATCTGCAGTCCATCATGGCACGTTAGTTCATGCCACAGCTCGGCATAAATGTATTGTTCATGGGAGGAATCGTTCGCTGTGCAGATGGCTGCAGTGTTGTTAGAAACAGGGCATTGAAGCTTACATAATCCTACCCATATACTCATCCTCCCCCTTTAGCACGCTGTGCCAGCGCTTATGACTAGTGAGAGGATTCTTTTCCCCAGGATTCCCTGTTTATGTAATTTTTTGTATATGAACCCAGTCAGGTTTCATGTGAAAGGCCTTACCCATAATGCACTTTTGGTTGACACAGCTGTGCTAAACAGTAACTCTATCTGAAAGATGTTTTTTCTGCCCCTTCTTTAGCTTAGTTTTGGTGATATCTTGGATTTGCTGAAATACTCTAATTTATCTTTTATATAAGGCTCTTGCATTAGTATGCAATTCAACTTGATTGAAATGTTCACAGGGTCTGAACTGTGACTTGATATACGTGACCTGTGGCTGCTGAAATAGATTGAAGATGTAGTTTATAAAGTGTTACATCAGTGGTGTATGGTAAATGTTTTACCCTCAGTGCTTATAAAGGTGATTATGCCAAGCTTTATTGACAGCATCTTGTCTTTTATGAGCTCTTTTACTGTTTTTGACAGCTTTGCTGACTTTTTAGATGGAGTGGCTCTCTAGCAGGAGCAGGAACTTGGCAAGTGTAACAAAGTCACTTTATTCCCTCCATGCCTCTCCCTCCTTCCTCTGCTTTGCCCCCACTGAGAGAAGGGGAGAGTGAGATGACCTCTACTTGCTTGCTTGCTTAGTGGAAAGTAGTGGCATAAAAAAAGACATTTAATACATGAAATTGCTGCAAATAGGTCCTTTTAGCAGCAAGCAGGAGTGGGTGGTATGAGTAATTTATCTTTATCATTATCATGGTTTGGAAATTCCTTAGGTAAAGTGGGGGTTTGGACAATAACTGCATAAATCCTTATCATTTTGTGATTACTTTGCATTGATAATGGACAACACAACCTATAATAAAACAAAAACTAATGAATTCAGGACATAGAAAAATACTAGAACTATTTATAAAGCATCTCTAAACTGTGTTCTAATTGGTCTGTTATCTATTAACCTTAATTGGCAATCAGCAAGTAAAGCTTTAAAAGTGTGCTAACCCAATAATCTTTAATAATGCAACCTGGGCCAGTTTAATCCAGTAATCAGGCATTACAGCTGCCAAAGGCGGCACGTCTTGCTGTCAAATGTTTAGATTGCCATTATTATGAATTGCAGTTCTTCAATGATAATTGCAAGTTACTTCAATGGATTTATGCCAAGAAATTATAAAAGCTTATGATCATATTGTCTAAAACTTTGCCTAGGGTGTTTTTGAAGTTTTAAAGGGCACTACATACAGTATGTGAAATAACCATGTGCTAATGCCTTTTTTTCCCTCACCTTTTTTGTAACACTAGAGTTGAGATGGTGTATACAGTTGTACTGTCAAGCCCTAACAAGAAGTAACAAAACCACAGCAAACTGTGTTGTAAATATAAATATAAAGAAATTATATAGTTCATAAGAAGGTCAACAGCAGATTGCATGTTTTTTTTACACTACTTTTCAAAAGTTTGTGGTTGGTAGTTTATTTTTTATTTTTTTTTGAGAAGTCTCTTATGCTCACTAAGTCTGTATTTATTTGATACAAAAAACAACAACAACATCAAACAGTTAAACCGTAATGTTGTGAAATATTTTTCACATTTAAAATAGCTTTACTATTTTAATATATTATAAAAAGTAATGTATTCCTGTGATGGCAAAGAGGAATTTTTAGCAGCCATTACTCCAGTCTTCAGTGTCACATGATCTTTTAGAAATCATTCTAAAATGCAGATTTTGTATTTTTTATTATTGTCACTGTTAAAAACAGTTGTGATGCTTACTATTTTGTGGAAATGGTGTTACATTTTTCAGAATTCTATGATGAATAGAAAGTTCAAAAGAACAGCATTTATTTAAAATAGAAAATGTGTGTCAATGAAAAACTTTCCTGTCACTTTTGATCTATCTAATGCAACCTTGCTGAATAAGTGTTCAAAATCTTACTGACATCAAACCTTTGAACGGTAGTGTATGATGATAAGCTTAAGAATAGCCTTGTATTACAAAATTGGTTTAGATTATAGAGAGCAGTGTTGCATACATTGTAATTTCACTGTTTTATGTATACCTATGATCATGCACAGAGACGATGTTAAGATGATGCATGCAACACATATCCTTTATTTTTAATTTTTATGAAAGACAATTTAAGAGTGTGTAGACCCAGATAGCATTTGTACATTCGGCACAGATAGATGACTGGAGTGGTATAGAGCAGGTGTTGATTTTTATATATTTTTGATATGATGTATTATACATGGGTGTAGTTTATACACAATCTCTTCCCTCCATAATACTGATATTTAGCAGCATAAAAGTTGTCAGTGTCAGCATAAAATGACATTTTAGTGGTGGTGACATTCAAGGTAGAACGCTTACTAGCAAGCACTCCGTAGTCTCTGGTGGTGTAAATGGGGCTTTATATGTCTTTATTATCCTCCTCTTTGAGGAACCACTAATTTCCGGTTGTCTCATGAGTGGGAAGAAACAGTCCCTTAAAGAAAGAAAAACAGGCTCATGGAAAGATGTTTTTGTTTCATTTGACAGATGCCGATAAACGTATCAAGGTGGCGAAGCCGGTGGTGGAGATGGACGGAGATGAGATGACCAGGATCATCTGGGAGTTCATCAAAGAAAAGGTGCTTAAACGCCAAGCGTGTGAGTGATTGAGAGAATGAGGGGGAGGGAAGCAGTGTCTGTCTGGTCTATTTTTAAAATGGTGACACACACACACACACACACACACACAGACAGACAAAAACAGAATGCGGGAGGGAAAGATGTAGAGGGTAAAGGAAAGAGAGAAACAGAAGAGCGAGAAGCCTAGACAGGCACAGACAGAACAAAAATTGGGTTAGACAAGAGTAGAAAGACAAAAGGAGATGGAAATTGGAAAGGGAATGTGACAGCGTCTCTTGGGAGAATTAAACCGATGAGGAGTGATTGGCATGTTACGCAGATCTCCTTTTTAAAAAGACAGTGTGATAGGCTTACTGGGAGAGTGTTTACACGTGCAGACCGGGAGATTACGGCTGCATCGCGCAGGGGCAGGGCCAGTGTTGAGGTCATTCTCACTGACTGGCCGACTGCATTCCTGAGAGAGACGGCAGATGGTGGTGGTGACGTTCCACAAGCTGAAATTATTCTGCCAATTCTGTGGAGAATCAGAATGGGCTCATTATTTATAGCCAGGAAAACAATGCCATAAATCCCGAGATTATTATAACTATGGTGTTTAGGCTCAATCAGACTTGAAAGGATCACACGTGGCGTCATTTATTGTGGGAGTGTGAAATTTGTGCATCATCAAACTGAATATTAAGATGGGATAGGATCAAGTATTTTTGAAAAATTACATCACCCTTTTAGAATAAAATAAAATCACCAAATGACTTGCTTTATTGTATTTAATCTGTGTTTTTTGAGAATGACTGTTTACACAAAATTGTTGTGTGCAGCTCATTCTGACCAATGTGGATGTGGAGCTGAAGTACTTTGACCTGGGTCTTCCTTACCGTGACCAGACTGATGACCAAGTCACAATCTCTCACTGACTGGCCGACTGCATTCCTGAGAGAGACGGCAGATGGTGGTGGTGATGTTCCACAAGCTGAAATTATTCTGCCAATTCTGTGGAGAATCAGAATGGGCTCATTATTTATAGCCAGGAAAACAATGCCATAAATCCCGAAATTATTATAACTATGGTGTTTAGGCTCAATCAGACTTGAAAGGATCACACGTGGCGTCATTTATTGTGGGAGTGTGAAATTTGTGCATCATCAAACTGAATATTAAGATGGGATAGGATCAAGTATTTTTGAAAAATTACATCACCCTTTTAGAATAAAATAAAATCACCAAATGACTTGCTTTATTGTATTTAATCTGTGTTTTTTGAGAATGACTGTTTACACAAAATTGTTGTGTGCAGCTCATTCTGACCAATGTGGATGTGGAGCTGAAGTACTTTGACCTGGGTCTTCCTTACCGTGACCAGACTGATGACCAAGTCACAATCGACTCTGCATTAGCTACTCAGAAATACAACGTTGCTGTGAAATGCGCCACCATTACTCCTGACGAAGATAGGGTCGAAGGTACGGCACACCTCAGAAACACTTTATATATATATATATATAATCCTTAAGTGCATTATGTAAATCTTTGTCATCATTTACACTTGACAGAGTTCAAGCTGAAAAAAATGTGGAAGAGCCCTAACGGAACAATCAGGAACATTCTGGGTGGGACTGTCTTCCGTGAGCCAATCATTTGCAAGAACATTCCCAGACTTGTTCCTGGCTGGACACAGCCCATCACCATTGGCAGACATGCCCACGGTGACCAGGTCTGCTTTCTTGGATAATCTGGGTGGTTTTTAAGTCCCCCCCCCCAATGTGTTTTTATTCCTGCTGAATTGCAATCCTCTTGATGCTTTACAGTACAAAGCAACAGACTTTGTTGTGAGCCAACCAGGCAAATTCAAATTGGTCTTCTCTCCAGCTGATGGAAGTAAAGCCAAAGAGTGGGAGGTGTTCGATTTCCCTGGTGGTGGCTGTGGAATGGGAATGTACAACACTGATGAGGTCAGTGCACATATGCATAAAATGCTTTTTTTTTAACACTGAAGGAGCATCAAGATATCATAAGTCTTTTCATGCAATATTTTCTTATAATTAGTTCCCACAGTTATGAAATAAAAAACTGGAAATAAGACATTTTAAAATTATACTTTCCTATTCAAGTAATAAAAACGTACATCTAAAGTTAAATAACAAATATATCCACAAAACTTCAAAATACTGGGGTCAGTAATTATTATTATTTTTTTTTACATATTAATAATTTGATTCAGCATAGAATAATTAAATTGATCAGAAGTAACAGTGAGGACATGTATAATGTTCTATTTCAAATAAATGCTGTTCTTTTGACATTTCTATTCATCAAAAAATCCTGAAAAAATATCACATTTTGGTTTTCCACAAAAGTATTAAGCAGCACAACTGTTTTCAACATTGATAATAATAAGAAATGTTTCAAAATCAGCATGCTAGGATTTCAGAAGGATCATGTGACACTGAAGACTGGAGTAAAGGCTTCTGAAAATGTAGCTTGTTTTAATAGGAATAAATAACTTTTTAAAGTATATTAAAATAGAACACAGTTATTTTACTTTGAAATTGAAACATTTAAAATTGTTACACAATATTACTTTATCAAATAAGTGCTGTCTTTTTGAGCATAAGATACTTTTTTTCATAAGTAATAAACTTATCAACCTAAAACTTTTGAACGGTAGTGTGTATGAAATAATTGACACAAGAATGAAGTTAATTTTTTAGTTACTTGATCGGTTAGAAATTATTTTTTTGTGAATTCAAAGTAAGTTGATTTAAAAGTAGTTTAAAAGTAATCCAGTGATCACAAGAGACTTGTAAAGACAGAAACTCATTGGTTAAAAGTTGTGGGACCTCTGACTTTTGCACTTCCTGAATTACAGCATCCAGCAGTGTTAAAATGTTCACAGCATTGAAATGAACTCAAACTCAAAACAGCATACCTATTGGGACCTTCGTAATTCTCACTGAAATAAAAAATTGGCAAATGGATAATATGAATTTGAAAAATGTATTTTTTTTCTGTTAATGAGCTTATACTCTGGTTATCTATCTTGAAGGTGTAAAAATAACACCTTGTGTATTCTAAGTTTGTATAATTAAGACCTTTTGACTCAAATTCTGTTATGTTCTGCACTTACACCTCCGGATGGATGAAGTCTAGATAATAGATGACCTCCCTCAGCTCATGTACCTGCAGTGAACCCTGATGTCCTGAAGTCTTTGTTTGTAGTCGGGGGAATGGTCTGTTTGGCTTTACAACAGATGATGTGTCTGCCTTCAGGCTGCTCCAGAGGTGGTGCTGCTATTGGGCTTTTTTTCCCTTCAAAAGAGATTGACTGAATGAAGTCTCTGTTCATTGTAGGCCGCAAATTGATAGTGCTGAAATTCATTTTTATACCATTTCCACTTCACATTTGAAGTGAGTGATTTTTGCTACACAGCCAGCATTTCCGAAACCTAGTTGAATTCCCCATTGTGAAAGTGGAACATCTATTTTTCCCGCTTGTGTGACATTCTGTCTTTCGTTTCTTTCTAACAGTCCATCACTGGCTTCGCTCACAGCTGCTTCCAGTACGCCATTCAGAAGAAATGGCCTCTCTACATGAGCACTAAGAACACCATCCTGAAGGCTTACGATGGCAGATTCAAGGACATTTTCCAGGATATCTTTGAGAAGTGAGAAGAATTCGATTTAGCAGTGTCTTTGACACGCTATTTATTTACGCACTTCGACCGTGTGTTTTCTATGAGCGTGTGTTGCTGTGTAATTATGAGATTAGTGCTTTGAGATGCTGTCACAGCAGTGACATGTGAAACTATACTTTTCTTCTAAAGCAATTTCAATGCAAAATACTGAACCGTCTTTTTTGTATTCCATGGTAGAAACTACAAGTCAGAGTTTGACAAGGTGAAGATCTGGTATGAGCACAGGCTCATCGATGACATGGTGGCTCAGGTGCTGAAGTCATCAGGCGCCTTTGTGTGGGCCTGCAAGAACTACGATGGAGATGTACAGTCTGACATCCTTGCTCAGGGTAAATAACTGAAAAATATCTATTCAAAGATGTCAGCCTTATTATATTGTTTGATCATATTGCACCCATGTTCATCCAATTACAACCTGAACTATTTTATAGTAGTTTTTGGTTTTAGCACTTGTAATTTATAATGTCCATAGCACAACGTTTAACATTTATCAACATCATATTCACATCAGTGTGCAACAAAAGAATTGAAAGCTTATACAAAACTAAAATTCCTGCCTAGCTTAGAGCTAACTGCCCAAAATGCAAGGACACAACCATTTAAAACAATAAAAATGCACCAAATCCTGTGTTACACATTAACATTATGAGTTGCCTAGCTAGATGGAGAATACATGGTGAATTTCCCCAATCATTCTCTGCTGGGTCTCAAGCCCTGTCACATGTCGGCAGACTGTCATTCATCACTTCTGAGCTCTGCGCAGGAATGATGGATGAGACACTCTCTTGCACACACAAGGGCAGTTAATATTTTTGTCCAGTGTTTTTAGGGCATCCTCGTCAAAATTCAACCAGTATTGGTGACTTTGTGGAAGATGCAGTGCACGTTCCAAGGTTTTATGTCCAAGGAGATTAAAATGGATGAGGTTTGAAATAAGGTCATTTAAGCCACACCAAAAAAACTGATGCTAGAAGATTACCACATTTTAAAAATGAAATTAATTTAGCCCACATAGTTAGCTAGTACGAAGTACACACAACACAGAAGAATAGACTGCAAACTAATAAGACATTTCAGAGATTTATGAAGATGAAATATTTAACTTTTTTTTTTTTTGGCTGACGCATGGATCTGTAAAATATTGAACGCTTTAAAGGGACAAATCTTAGTTTGTATTATTACATTCATCAAACTAAAGATGGAAAAAATACATAATTTAGACAGAATATTCTTGAATTTAGAGAAGATGGACCAAACAATGCACTTGGGTAAATAATGCAATTATACTCAAATTGAACTAAACCCATGGCTTAGCTTCTATAATTTTTAACTTGAAATAAAGTCCATCCATCTGGAATACTGGCAATGTATTTACTCTTATGAATGCCAAGAGCATTGAGCAATAAATACTATATGCAATAATGTAAAAACAAACAAAAATATCCAGAAGGCCATACAGTGATCAAATGCCATGGTCTGGCGCATTATTATATAAAAAAAAAAACAGGCACTGAAAACCCATCCCACAAGCTCAATCAATCCACTGTGAGCAACAAACTGCAAATGCCCATCGAAAACCACAAACTGCTGAAAAATAATCTTTACAAAAAGTCACAGTATGCTTATAAACTAAATGCTGGGAAAGTTAGCATGTAATGAGAACTATTTGCACTTTGTCAGCTTTGGTTAAGTCCTATAAAGTGGTATGTAACTTGCTGGACAGTAAAACCACCAACAAGATTGAAGAGATAGTTCACCCGAAAATTAACATTTTGTCAACATTTACTCACACTCATGTTCCTGTATGAATTTCTTTTTTTCTGTTGAACAAAAGATATTTTGAAGAATGTTGGTAACCAAACAGTTGCTGGTAGCCACTGACTTCCATAGTATGAAAATACTATGGATGTCATTGGTTAGTGGTTACCAGCAACAGTTTGGTTATCATCATGAAGGTGAGTAAATGATGACAAAATATTCATTTTTGGGGTGAACTATCCCATGTCTTAGGTCTTGTTTGTCTCTGTTTTAAAGAGCTGTGGATTGTCTGTATAGATTAAGTGCCTTCTTACATCTGTGCATATTGGTTAACTGCACCACTGAAAGTGACTTATAAATTATATCCTTCTCAAGAACTGCACTGTGATGGGCAAAAGTGGAACCCCCCCCCCCAGGATGGTTTCTAATGTGAAATGACATTGTTAAAATGAAGTTTCAGTCTGCTATCACTTTTGTTTCACAGAGCCTAAATGGCTTCCAGCGCACATCCACTTCATGATGGCTATTTCCTCAGTGGCTCATGTCAGAGCCAAGAGTACTACAGAAATGACCGTGACAGTCATTTTTCCTCTTAAACCACATTTTAGTAGTGTCTCAGTCAGCTGTTTAAGTTGTGTTGTAGCGAGCAGCAACCTTAGTGTAGTTGTAGTAGCTAATTTTGGCGAGTTTCGCCAAATCTTGTGCGTTGTTGCTGGCTAGATTCTCCCTTTCACTGTAATCATAGCTCTCTTCCTCGTAATCTTCCTGACCCACCGCATGAGGCAGGGCATCTGAGGAAGGAAATGGAGACACACAAATATAAGCCTGACTAATAGCACGATTAGCTTTAAAACTTTTTGGTATATATTCATATATACACAACGTGAATTCAGAGGGTTATACTTTATAATGATACTTTATGATTTTGTGAAATGAAATCATTGACAAAAACCTTTGAATCAGTCAAATGTATATCACAACATTGGTACTTTTCTTTACACTTGCAGGACACACTTGTTCTAGCATCAGAATTTACTTCCGCCCTATAAGGCCAGAGAGAGGCAGAGTCAAACAGTTCTATAAACCTCTAGGCTATACCGGTCTTGTCATTTCTAATTTTCTATAACATTGAGAACAGCAAGAGTCACAAGTAAGTATAAACTGAGCTCAAATTTGCATATTGTTACCTTGTGCTTCGGTTGAGGTGTCCAGGATTCCATGTTTCACCTTCATGTGTCGACTCAAGTTGCCCTTCAAATTGAACTTGCTGGTGCAGTAAGGACACTTGAAGGGTTTGCTACCGGCATGAAGGTGCATGTGACCCAGCAGGTTATACATTCTGTTGAAGGACTTCCCGCACACCTATAGTAACCAATTTGGGAACTATTAGAGGTCTATAATGCACAGCTGTAACAGGCAGAAAAATACAGACTGTCTGGAGGACTCCAGCAGGGTTATGTTAGCATGGAAGATTTCTTTGTACCCACCTTGCACTTGAAAGGTTTCACAGGCAAGTGGACAATCATGTGTGTTTTAAGCGTCTGCTTCTGAACAAAGGTCTTGAAGCAGACGTGGCACTGGAAAGGGCGCACACTGGTGTGAATCAGCATATGTCGCTTCAGGTTGGCGGACAGAGTGAACTCGCGAGAACAAACATCACATTTGTATTCCTTCATACCCTGAGAGAGAAAGACAACAACAATATATTTAGAGATGATTCCATTGTGACCATCACTTTAAAAGTAACTTTTGTAATTAGCGGTAGACTTTTTTTTTATTCGTTTTTGAGAGGGAGGGGGGGGGGGGGGGGGTTTTTTAAT